GAATGATTTATCCAGTTCAATGCAACGACCAAGACCAGCTACAAACAACCCGATGTCTGGTTTCATCAGCTGTAGGAGGTGAGGACATTTTTCATGTATCGAAGAATTGATGACAGTTGGAAACTCCCCTCCGCGTCCTAGCTTTTTATACGCCCCGCCCACCGGATTAGGGACCAGCGAACTCGGCACAGCTCTCCCACCAGCCAATAAACACATTTTAAATAGAAACTTTCAAATGTTCAGCTTTCGTGCTGTACTGTCCTTTAACGGACACTTTTGGGAGCGGCGAACAGAGGTCGTTAAAGAGTTGTCGAATCACTCCGTGCCAGCTGAACTCATTTTGATTTATCGAACGACCCTCAGAGTCGCTTATGTCCGGAAGTCACTTGAGAATTTGAACCATGTTTTCCGACTAAGAAACCCCGTTAATCGACGTACTGCCCGGCACCACGGTAGTAACTGGCCGCCCGTCATCCGGAGGCTAGAGTCAATAAATTTAAATTATGAGTCCATGCTATCATCGCCAGCTTGCCCATTGCCGCTCTTAACTTCTTCACTCGAGCAATGATATCGCACACTGTTCTATGTGTTCTTTTTCACTCACTCACCTTCTATCTTTACGTGTTACTCCCAACAAACATCTTGCAAAGCTGTGTTGCGTAATATGCAGTTCATGAACTAGCATAGCAGCCCTACATCTATCTAAATGTGCCTGCGCAGCAAACCCATATCACAGCTACCGACCCATTACTTCAAGAGCCTAAGGGACCATTCAAGCAGGCCATGGCAGCATAGTGTTACGCAGTCCGGAAGCACCGTATGGAAGCATAAGCGCGGCCCTGTTTTATACATCTTTCATGCTGCGACTACTGTATCACAGCTTCATTAATCGATTGCATTAGCAGCTAATAAAAGCTTAAGCAAAATATTACAGTACATCCGATTCCCAAGTATTTCGAAAGCACATCAGCGGCAATAGTGCGAATCTGAAGCTGCGTCATGCGCGTCATCAAAAACACATTACGGAGCTGTCGACCGTTGCGAAGCTTCTCGATGAAGGAACTACGACCATCTACAGAAACACCGTGTCTCGCGCCGGTCGCCGCAGCTGATGGTCGAAACGAGGCATGAAGAAGAGCTTCTGACGGATCCCAGTTGTTGGTTTAAAACGCTCACTTTAAACCGGAATGGCGCAGGTAGAAAAAAATATAGCTGCTAATCGCTTTCTTCTGCTGACCTGAAGGGAACACGCTCTTACGACATTTGCTGGGATCGCTTTCCCGCCGATCAGCGGTTCAAAAAGCGTCATGACGAGAAACTTATTACGAATGTGCAATACTCATGCAGAGATTCTGCCCAACCGAATGAGAAGAGCTTCCTGCTTGCAGCATAAAGAGAATCGAAAGACATTGCCAGCAAAGCAGCTTTCTCCATAACGGTGATATAATCGACTTCAAAATAAGGCCTGTCTTTCCACATGTCCATCCTGCCATCTGGTGACCCATTTATCTATCTAATAAATTCTTTGAACAGAGCACAAACTGAAGAAACGTAGCTAAAAGCTTAAAATGAGAATACATAAACACATCGAAACCAGTTTGACAACTTGATCCAGTCAACAGGCAACGTATTAAACTCAGTGCCATAAGTTTGTCAAACAGCACAATCTTTCCGTATCTCGACCAATAGCAAACAAATCTCCTACGTTCTATGGTGAATGTACAAATTGACGTATTTAATACCTGCAATCTTAGGCAATTATGGAATGCGGCAGACTTCTTTATCGTTTGGCAGAGATATGCATAAAATCTTTAATTAATAACATGGTCTCTCCTATTCTCACCAACGATAAAGAAGCCCGCTACATTGCGTAACGTAACCCCACGTAACAACTATCATGCGTTCCACAGAATGGTAATACGAATGCAAAACTCGCGGCAATGTCATAACCATGGTGTTGCCCATCTAAGCGGTATGACGCTTATTACTTTCTATTATTTATAACGTACTGTCAGGATCTCAGTTATTCGTCCGAACAAATTGCCAATCTTCGTTCACAGAGTAGACGGAAATTTCTTAGAGGCTGTTATATGACCTGACGTCATAAATCCTTCTACCCTCGATTGTATTCAGAGTGTCCTTCTCACAAAGGCATAGACAGCTCTCTCGTCTACTATTACCAGTGTCATCGATCGATAGTTTTTAGATACATGAGCAGTTACAATATCGATTGACGAATACGCATACCACCGTCATTCATATTGCTACATAATCAGATATTTAGACCGTTTAGACAGTATCCTCTTATCCTTTTTCTCTGACCTACAAGCAATACATACTGACAATCTAAAGCATGACTTCTGCCTCCTGAACGATCAACCGATTGTTCGTGATGGTTCTGAAGTATCTCACTACAGAGATCAACACAGACTTTAGTGTGTTCACCAGCAGAAGGTGCACAGTTGGATTAATGCATATTATTTCCTATTTCTGGACCAGAAAAGGCCTAAATTTTATTTGCTGATTCCAGGTAAATTTCCATACTGATAAGCATGAAATCACTGATTTTTCAAAAAACGACAAAGTTCTTCCGGCTTCAGACCACAAATAACAAAACAATTCTACTCGATCAACCTAGCCATCCACGATATCCAAGCGTTCCTCAGAGTCACAAGGGCTAGAGAAGAACTGGAACAAGGGAGGGAATGCGTAGAGTTGCTAGGGCAAAATAACGACGCCTGTTCTCATCAACCGTTGCAGTACTAAGTTTATACCTTGTCTTTCACGATGGTCAGCCGACGAGAAAAGTCGCCTGATGAACAGTCAAAACTAAGTAACTCATGAGCAACAGGAGCACCATTCACGCTGTCAGAAGCCGACGAAACAGGAAAATTTGGCACATTACGTCGTCGAACTTCTGAACAATTAATGCCAGCTGATGGGCCGTTAGACATACATATAGAGACAGAAACCTGCACATCAAAAGAGAGTCATGTCGGTAGATATATAGATGAATAGACAGACCGAAAGGCAAACAGACGGAAGCAAAAGAGAGTCAGATTGATAGGTAGATAGAAAAAAGGAGGGACACGATGATCGATTGACAGACAAATTATATATAGATGAAAAACCGAAGTTACTGCTGCACCACCGTTCATGAATATGATTATGAAATCAATCAGATGTAATACCAGTAGAGAGATGCCTTGAGCTAAAATACACAGCAGAATGGAATCAGTAAGTTACATCACGCCGTAAACATAGATCTTTACTTAGACATCGTAAAGGTTTCTACCGAAACTGCAGTACGTGCTACTTTACGCAACCGGACATTACTGACATTTACCAAAACCGGTCCGCAAATCTGTACCCTGAATGCTTCCCCTGAGTTGGTGGTGGTATCCACTGATTATGGCTGTCTGGTCTACAAAATGGTTTAGAAGGTGTAACAGTTCAAGCTTTCGAAGATTGTAAGTACTGTTAATCCAGTAGTCAAAACTGTCGTCACTACCGTTTGCACCCATCACATAACTTGGATAAATATTTGTCTATTCATTTCATCTTCTTCTTTCATGTCCTGGTTTCTCAGTGCGCCACAAGCAAGTCAACGCTCGTGCGGTCCTCATCCGGTCTCCTCTGTCTTCCCAGCTAACCCTTATTTAATAGCCTTATGCTGTCTAAGACGGGTTACAGTTGAACGAGATCTCGTTACGGTAACTTGAAACAGCGACATTGCCAGGCACTCGTAAATGATATCTGTCCAAAATCAAGACCTCACATAGAACTTCAGGTGCTCACATCGAAGAACCTCTTGAACGGCATAAAGACTTGGAAGACAATGGTCATAGTTATTCACGATGATTAGTGTATCCCAAGTGAATTGTCGAACAACCACTCACCAATGATACTCGAAACGTTCATAAGGTCTATTCGGAAGTACAGTTAAGTACTACTGTGGGAAATCTTATGAGTAAAGCAGACCTTCGTTTGATAGCTACAACATAGAAATGACAACGGAAAGGGGAAAATCGTTGTTCAGCCCTTAACAGCTACCGTCATGACAGAATTTCTTTCAGTTTCCCGCCGGAATTGAATGACTATAGCACTATGATAAGCAAGTACTTGTCTCGTTGCTCGTGGCACTAGCAGCAGCTTACAGCTGTTGATCATGCGAAAGAAAGTAAGATCAGAGAAAGAACAAAGTACCAGCCAAATGTTGCATATGATTGATGACTGCGCTCACAAACAGCACATTCTTCAATCACGCTCTCAGCATCTGGCAGCCATCTTCACCAAGACAGAGTATGCGGGCGCACGAAGATCAAAGGCGCACAGAGACCCTTCAAGAGACGACGCAGTGCCAGCCTCGAACGGAACAGAAGTGGAACACCTCGCGCGACAGAACGAAGACAGTCGAAGCGGCA